TTTTTTGGGGGGGGGGAAGAGGGGGTGGATGGGTTTATTTACTTATTTATTTATTAGATGATATCAGTCTCAAGTGTAAACTATAATTTCATTTTCAGTGAAGATTTAACTAAGAAGTCTCTTATCACGATTTCACTTCTTGTAGTCTGTACGATAATAAAATTGTCTTGGGGAAAGGGTGTATTCATGTATGTAGCAGTTTTTGTTTCTCAGATTTTAAATGTAATATTTAAATACATTTTTCTGTTTAATAGAGATCCTCTGATGGTTCATTATGCCATGATGAAAACCTTGCTAAAGTGATTGAACTCCAGGACATCATAGATAAGCAAAACAAAGAGCAGACACAAATGAAAGAACGTCTTACTGCTTTGTCTAGCAGAGTAGCAGAGCTGGAAGAAGATCTTGACACAGCTAGAAAAGACTTAATAAAATCTGAAGAAATGAATACAAAGTTACAGAGAGATGTACGAGAGGTGAGGAGTGAACTGTCAAATTTTGGGCCGTTCCAAATATAATTATTTCATAAAATTATCAGTCATGTTGATGCTTACTTGCACCTTGGTATTTTTAAACTTTTTTTTGGTTTGAAAGATGAGGAAAAAATTTGTTTAACCTTATAGTCCTTTTTTAAAATACTCCATTGATTTAAAATTTGCTTTCAGAATTAATCTATGATTAACTATGTACTTTACATGAATATATTAAGCTAGAAATTTATCTTTGTGGACTTCAAATGTTCTTGAAAAAGTGCTTGATCTTGTCATAAATGTTGAGCTTGTTGATGAAGTCTAAATTTGCTCTTAAAGATACACGTGGTTGAGGAATCTTCTTAATTTTAGTGGTGTGATTGGCAGTCCTGCTATCAGTCAGTCACTGCTCTCCAAGGTCCTGTGTCTTGCTTTCTACTCCAGAAGAGAGTATTGAATTAAATTGAAAGGGAGTTTAGTTAAGTCTGGAAAAACTCTTTTGCTGTCCACAAGAAGTAAAGATTTGCTATATTTGTGCTGCTGAGATGAGTAAAAGATCTGTGATATGCTTTGTGGGGTTTTTCGTTTTCTTTGTTTGGGGTTTTTTTAGCGATGAATTTTAAGTCATGGAACTTGTAAGTTGTATACGTAATAGTATATCTGATCTTTTTAAGTTTAATTACCAAGTGATTAAGTTCTGTTCTGTATCTTGTGTAGACTTTGGCCCAAAAGGAAGATATGGAAGAGAGAATTACAACTCTTGAAAAACGCTACCTCGCTGCACAACGTGAAGCTACATCTGTGCATGACCTCAATGATAAACTTGAAAATGAAATTGCCACTAAAGACTCCATGCATCGACAGGTTGTAATTTGAAATAAGCTCAAATATTGAAATAAGCTACAAAATTGCATTCTGCTCAATAGAAAATGAATGGAAATAGTTAATGTTCATACCAGACTAAGCAGTCCTGTTCTAGGAAGATAAATATATTTGTAATGTGCTATTAGCGTTTGTTTTTCAGTAGCTGGAGGGGAGTGCATTGCAGAGAGTTTTACCCTGGAAACAAATGTGAGAGAATTTCCTGGGAGGGGAGGTGATTTTGTGCATCTTAAGGCATTTGATCTTGTTGCAGTAGGGCTGTTGTCTGTGTTAATTATGGATTTTTAAGTTATTGTAAGTGTATCCAAACATCTTTAGTTTCACATGCGAGAATTATTCATTCTCAACTAAAACAGTTTTAGAAGTTGTGTTGAAACTAAAGCCTGTAGGAGGCATGAATATGCTCTTTGATTAGATCTTGGGTAGGTACATCGGAGCTGAGGTATATTTTGGCTTAGGATTGCTTAGTTCAAACAGTGCCTGATGTAGCTAAATGGGATGTTATGAAAGGGAAAAAGGTTTTGATTATTTGAAAACGTGTAAATGTTTTTAAATGGAGGTTGGAACCTGAGGTGAAGTTTTAGCTCCTTATTAGCTTCATTTTTACTTATTATGTTTCCCTTGGTTCCTTGCCTTGATTCATTTATTTACTATGCTTTGTGTGTGTTAAGCACTAGTTTCTTTTATGTCTCTGTGTGGCTCAGTGGCATAATTTGAAACTGCTCAGGAAGTTGAGATGAGCCTACTTGTCAAATTCTCACTTTTTCAATCTAGATGATTAACCTTACTGATAGATTTGTTTCTCTAGTATATCCAGCCTCCCAGAATGGTTCTACCCCATCTTTGCTGTTTGATTTTAAACCCATACAAGTTCCTGACTTCTGTCTGTCTGATCATGCTTATCTTTAATCTGTCCCCTTCTCCCCACACATCTGTTGTGTGCATCAGTCAGGGTTTTTTCTGAAGCTTAATATGCCTTTAGGATACGCAGAAATAAATGGAGTTAGAACATACACGTGAGAAGCGGGATAACAGAATGCCCAGCTGGCTTGTCACTTGTGATCCGAGGAGAAAACAGACTGGTGAACAAAACTGTCCAGCAGAGAAGGCTAGTTGAGATAATGGTGGGGTTGAGCTGGAAAGAGTTGCATGTGAACTGAGAAGCTTAGCAAGGAGCGCTAGTACTGGACTGTCTTGTATTTTACTGCCTTTGGGACAAGGTTGGTTAGGGTTTGTGCAGGAGTTTAAAGGTGATTTTTATAGCCTATAATACAAGTAACTGTTACGAAATTTCTCATGTGTGAGATAAAGTTGTCCAACTTTACGAACCAGACATGGCTAATTCTTTCCTAATTAGAGGAAACCAGGCAACACTTAGTCAATGAGAACACCCTTTTACCCATAAATTTTAAAAACTAAATTTCAAAACAAACAAAAAAACGGATTAAATGTTGGAGTAATGTGCAGTGTTATTCAAAATATGAAGGAATTTATGCCTAGATGCAACACAAAGTCTCAGCACAACCTTGACAATGAAAATTCACTTTTTCTCTATTGCTTCCCATACTGTAGTTATGTTTATTCAGTGATGCAGTTGCTTTCAGAATACACAAAATTGTATGCAGTGAAAGGTTGCAGAGAAAAAGTTTTCTCATGTGACAAAGGGGAAAATCCCACATCTTTTGATTATGGAACCAACTTTGGAAAACTTGTTTTCTGTAGGCCAGTAATCTGTATCTTTACCTTCATCTTTGAAAGTTAATTACCGTTTTAACACTGGATATTGCTGATCACAATCCTGTGTAGAGTGAAGATAAGAACAGACAGTTGCAAGAACGACTGGAACTGGCTGAGCAGAAGCTGCAGCAGACCTTAAGAAAAGCTGAAACTTTGCCGGAGGTGGAAGCTGAGCTGGCACAGAGAGTTGCAGCACTTTCAAAGGTGGGTCAGCCGGGTGGGATGCTCAAGCCTTTTTTTTCCCCCTATTAGCATCCCACTACGAGAAATCTGTTCTTAATGTTGTTTCCATTATTGTCAGGTTTCTGTTTTTTCCCTATCTAGGTCAGAAAATGATTTTTCCTGTTTTCTGCGCTTTCTGTTCATGAACATAATGTAACGATTTACCCTTTTTATTAATTTCTGCTCTTTGCAATTTGAGTAGGTGTTTTGTTAACTGTATTACATTATGAAAGTCTCTCTCTGAGTTACTGCCTTGTTTCTTTTTATTAAATTTCATTCAATGCTAGGCATAAAGGTCTTCTAAAATGATAACTATTTCTGAAGGGGAAGGTAGTTTTTCTTTCTGTGTTAACCAAGTGGGGAATGTGTGCATGTGGGGAGAGACACGTAACAGTAGTCATTAATTTTGATATTTTCTGGAAGGCCGCAAGTGAAATAATGAAATCTGAAAAAATAATACATGTTAACCACAAATGAACCTTTTCAAGTGTGGGGTGTCATGGGGTGCCCTTTTTTTTTTTTTGTTCGTTTGTTTTAAGTCGTAGTTTCATTTCTTTCCCCGTTATCTTTCCTGTCCCTTACTGACTCTGTAGTCTGACCTTTTGTCTCCTGGGAACTCTGCTGCTAAAGATGCTAAAGTATTGGAGCTTGCCACCAAGCTTAGGAAGGTAGAATTTGTATACTAGTCCTTGTTTCTGCTTGCTGCTTTCTGCTTTGTCATGATCACTAAAAAAGGGTGATAGTGTCTAGGCCAGTGAAGAAAAGCTGAAAATGCATTTAGTTTTGATTTCGTGTTTTTTTTTTGATACCGTTGGGGGTTTGAATGAGCTTTTGCTGTTACAAACTCATTTGCAAGTAATAGCTGTTTCACAGTACAGAGTAGTGAGAGGATTATTTCATTACTTAATGTGAACTCTCACTAGGTCCTTTTGATAGGAGAAGGGCATCTGTTTTGCACTGTGTTACCATAAATGGCAGTTTGCGCAAAGCATGTTAGATACCTTATGGTGCATCAACTTTTCTTTATGATTTTGAAACCTTTTTTTAAAAAAAACAAAGTTTTGTTTTCAAATTGACAGGCTGAGGAGAGACATGGCAATATAGAAGAACGGCTCAGACAGATGGAAGCTCAACTAGAAGAAAAGAATCAAGAACTGCAAAGGGTACCGTACATATTTTTGTCACAAAAACAAAGCTGAAAGAAAATGTCTATCTCTTCCGTGGCTGTGCACCATTCAGCAAAGCTGTTTTTATATCTCTAAAATAAAGCTGGAGTTTAGGCTGACTGAGAGTTTGGAGATGGATAATTGGGAGATTTTAGCCTCTGTGTCATGGCCAGCTTTAAATCTCAAGAATAATCCGTGAATTGCCAACCAAAGTTTGAAATAAGTTTGGAAATACCTAATTACCAGTCACACTTTCTGATGACAGAAATAAAGGGTGGGGGGACTTGCTGAATTGACTGACCATGCAAAAATCTGTTCAGAGGTTATAATAGTGGAATTGATTGAGATCTACTTGGTCATGAAGCATTAGCTAGATTTCGAAGTTTCTGATCTTGTATCTCTTCAATTATTAAAGTCTTAAAGCTTACAAACTTGTGAAAGTATGTGCAGTATTTCTTATCCCTTAGGCAAAATGGTTCCTCTAAAGAAAATAAATTTGGATTAAGGAAAGCTTTTTGCTTTCACAACCTGGAAATCACTTTATAGACATTATAAATTGTAAGTGATTTCAGTAGCCTTGTTTATAAAACTTTCAAGTTTCCTTATGTATCTTAGGCTAGACAGAGAGAGAAGATGAATGAAGAACATAATAAACGCTTGTCAGAGACTGTTGATAAGCTGCTCTCTGAATCCAATGAAAGGCTTCAGCTTCATCTCAAGGAAAGGATGGCTGCCTTGGAAGATAAGGTAACCTTAAGTCACGTTCCAGCATATTCATTAATTAGATGCTCAACCTTCTGTAGTAATTTTTGTATTTTGCAATATTTGTATAATAAATACTAAATTTCTATTAATAAAACAGCTTTTGTAAAGGGAATTTTCTAATGTGAATTTTGAAAATACATTCTTAAAATTCCTTCTTTTGAGGTTATCCCTGGGCATGCTATTTCAGTGTTGAGAAGACCTCTTTTAAGAAGCTTTATCCTTTCTTAGTTGATTGGTGTAAACTGCATAAGTAGGCTCATCTAGCGTAAGACAGGTCTGAAGTATTGGGACTAGAACTTTGACCTTTTCCAGGACAGTTTTTTTTTCCCCACTCCTTTCTGTCCATACCGGTTACACAGAGTCATCCTGGGTTTCTTGCAAGCTGGAAGTATCTTGTCTTTTCCTCCCATGTAGATTGTTCTGAGGTAGGTTACATGACTAAAGAGGCTGTTCCCTTGATCATCAGCGCACATCTTGGATCTTTCCCCTGTAATAGTTCTGGCCATGTTCTGGGTATATAGCTTTTTTTCTCCTTTCACTTTTGAATCTAGATCCTCATGGATTTTTTTTTCCAGAAGATACATTTGCCTATCTTTATAAGGATTTCCTTATTCTGCATCAAGTAAAGCAGTACCTATCGTAATAGCATTTTGTTGACTTTGAGTTTCTTTTTCTTGATTTAAAAATACTTAGTTTCTTGTATAGCAAAGTGAAATGATCTGAGGAAATGGTTTAGTTATATATAGCGCTCTCTCTATATATATAATATATATTGCTATATAAAAAATATATATATAGCTATACATAATGTATGTATGTTGCTATATAATGATGTGCCTGGGCTTTAACAGATGTTTACTTTCTCTTGGATTCATGTCAACTCATTTCTCTTCCCTAAACCATCAGTCAGGTATCTGACATATCTTTCCAGAATTCTAGGGCTGTCCTCACCTCAGACCACTACAGAGATTTGGTTCATTCTTTTCCCTGCTTTTGTGCTATAGGAGGTGAGGGAAAAATCAGGTAGTGCTTAACAAATGTGAGTCCTACTGATTCTTGTCCTTTGAGTTCATGATTAAGGTGTCTGTCACCTGACACGTAAGCCTGCAAGCTTTTGGCTTGTGGTTTTTAAATAATATCACTATTTCCAAGACCACCAATGGCTCCTAATATTTCTGAAATTTTTGTTATGGGCCTTAACTGTAACATCAACAAGGATGATCTAACGATCTTTATAAAATCAAGTTTAGAGAAGCTGTTGCCTGCATTTCCTTTTTATGGCTGTGGGGGGGGGGGTATCCCAAAGTTTTTTTGGGGGGGGCGGGGGAGGAAATTAAGGTTAACCGTAACCCTATATATGGATTTACATTCATAAATGTAATGAGAAGATTTTAGTGATTTTTTTTTTTTAGGAAAATATTCCTGCTATGGCTTCCAACACACATTTTTATGGTAATTTGGGAATAAATATACATGTTAAATTGTAAGACTTTTTCTTACAATCACTTGTGCTGTTTCCCAGAATGACTTGCTTGTTGACATGTGAAGTTTTATTACAGGTTTAAGGTGCAAATAATGGTATTACGCCCAGGAAGGGTGTTTAACGGAACTTTTTGGCAACTTTTTGGCGGAGAGGGAAAAGAAAATGATAATAAATCTTATAAAATTCCTATTAGAAGGGGAATCTCTAATTTTTGTTTTGTATCAATACTACAGTCATTCAGTATTTGAAATTTGTTTGAGCATTGTAGCTGTCGTGATTCTTAGCTCTCAGGTAATTTTTAGAGTTTGGAAAGACTTTAAGCAGAGATTGTAGCAGCTGTAAATGCATTTAGTGGAGTCTTTGAGATATCTTGATATAACTGTAAATAACTCGGTTCTAACGCTAATGAGGACCAATAGGTCAGTTTTTGGAGGTACTGTACATCTGAGAAATTACTGTATAGCAATCTTGCAGTTCAGGCCAATGAAAGCAATGGGAAAACCCAGTGATATTAGACAACACTGTCTTAATAATCACTTGGTGAATGAATTTGAATTACTTTAGCTGCATCTTTAATTATCCCTCATTTACTGTTTTTTGTCAAAAGAAGAATAACAGGCTAGAGGGCTATAGACCTGAAAGGATAAACCTTTAGCTATAATCAAAGAGAAATGGCTGTAAGCACCGTAAGAAAGATGCATCTGTATGACGTGACTGAAATTTGTTGATGCTCACCTTGCTTATGGTTAAGATAAGAGCTGTAAGCTTTGAGTAATATAATTTGTGATACGTTTTGTTTTAGAATTCTCTTCTTCGAGAAATTGAAATTGCAAAAAAACAGATAGAGGAACTTCAGCATGAAAAGGTATAATGTACATTACTGTATTATTTTATTGGAAAATAATTGCCCTATTGCTACCTAGCAGGAATAGGTTTGACGGGCCCCATGAAACTTTACATTGCATAGTTTGTTTAAAAAAAGAAGTCTATTTTTAGTAAACTCTTGGTGTTGTTGCTTATTTACTGTATTGAAAGCCTCTCAGTTGTTTGGTGCTTTTATACATAATGTATAGCTTTTTACTCAAAAGCTTTGTTACCATACTTCTGAATATGTGAAATGGCTGAGTATATTGGTAACTTACCAAAGTTTTAAGTTTATATATAATTTTTATGCTGTTGCAGATATAACCTTGACCTGTAAAAAGAAAAATGAAATGTTTTTAACGGCAGGTATTTTCCCATAAGTATTTTTTTTATTATTATTTTAAACAGTGTCATGAAATGCTTGTGACTTAAAATTTTAAGGTTTTAAGAAATGGATGAAGGGAGAGAAATATTTATTAAACGTTGCTGGTCTTCAGAGTAGAGGCTGTCTGGTGGTTTTCTTGCCCTGGTAACTGATCAGATCAGTTCATGAATGATAGTAGTGGAGCATTTCATTTTTTTGCAGTAAAGTTTGCGATCACACTTTCTGTTCCCAAATAGTACTCATTATTGCCTATTAAATCACAGCTGTATTGCAGCTCCCCAAGTCGTTCTAGGAAGTAGCTAGGCCAAACTGTAGAGGCTATGCGTCTGTAATGAAACGAAGAACACGTTCAGAATATATTGCAGGATGTTCTTTGAGTTTTTGTATGTGTAGGCAAGCAGTTTTCACTTGAGTTATAGATATTCATCATCAGCCATTTTTCTTAGTTTTTTCATTGAAGCTGTTTTCTTATTCACTTAATTGTTTTGTTGTTAAATTCCAAGTCTCTAGAACATACAGAACGTCCAAGTTAAAAGTAGATGCATTTAGGACCTGTTGTGCACAAAGCTTGAAAAATCTTATTTCTTATTAAATATGCTCACTTAACTGTAGTAAGTAACGTGTGAATTTTGTTCAGTAGTTCTGTTTTTAAAGTATGTGTCGTTACCTAGATTTGTGGCATAGAGAAAGAACAGAATTAACTTTGGATGCCCTTCTGTGATGGGGCTGTAGTGTGTGTAGCAAAAATTATTTCTAGATTTTACATTGTTGAAGGGTAGAATTTAAAATCGGTTAGTACCAAATTTTACAGAAATAAGATTAAAGGACTAAATAATAGTTTAAAATATTTGATGCTTTTTTTTTAAAGCCTATTTTTATATATTTTTTACAGGATCAACTTGTGTTAAATGTTGAAGCATTAAGGGCTGAAAATGACCAAGTGAGACTCAGAGCCGCATCGCTTCATCATAGGTACCAGTACCTGATAGCAATATAGTTTTTTCTAATTGCTTCCAAGTCACTTTGCTAAACATAATTGTATCTCTGCTATACATATTTTTAATAGCTGTAGCTATAAAACACATTCTTTATAGAGCACGTAAAGCAGTTGTTATACTGTTTTAAAAAAAAAAAAAAAACAGAATTGATAGGACAACAGGAATAGTTTGGGTGGTTTTTTGGATTCTTGGTGTTTGTTTTTCCCTTCCCTTCCCCTCCATCCCTAAGGATAAAGTATTTCTTCATATTTTAGCCGATCACATTTGGGTAGTGTACCAGATTTCAGATACCCTATGACATCTTCATCTGTGGTGGACAGTCACACAGACTCCTATGGCACCTCATCAGTGTTAAGGCGTCCCCAGAAAGGGCGTTTGGCAGCTCTCAGAGATGAACCTTCAAAGGTAATAAAACAGTAAAAATAGCAACAAAAAATTTTGAAGCCCAATGGATTAGATTAACCTAATCTGTTGCAAGATGAATTTGTGGAGTACAAGTACACAGCAACAAAACTGCTAGATCTTATATATCAAAATATATTTTTAAGATTTCCTTATGTCCTGTTTCACTAACTAATGCAAAGCTACTAGTCGTTTTAATTGTCATCAAATAATTGTAAAATTGGGATTTTGAGGTCCTATTTGCTTTAAATATGAAAGGCCTGTAAAATATAATCTGAAATAGTTCTATTTTCACGTGTGTACGTTTTCAGATTTGAACTTGCATTCACTAATCTAACATGTTATTGTTTTGCAAGCAATTTCAGAGTCTCTTTCAGGACATGTAAGTTCTCGTTATATAAAGTTGATTCCAAAATTTTCATTGGATTTGTTAGCAAAATTCTACAGTAACTTAGAGTGTATATGGCCAAGATATGTGACGTTACTGTTTATTCATTGGCGTTGTTCATTTTAAAATTTCACTTAACTGTAAGATGCAAAGTTTTCTACGTTATAGCTTTTGTTTTTACACTTCTCTAAATACTGCTGTCTTGATGGATGCATTCAGCATGTAAGTGGGCTTTTAAAAAATATTATTTTTAACATCTTGAAAAACATTAAAAATGCTACGTTTTACCCATTTGAGCTTGGATTTTATTTTCAATTCTCTTTTAACAGGTTCAGACGCTGAATGAGCAAGACTGGGAGCGAGCCCAGCAAGCAAGCGTATTGGCAAACGTGGCACAAGCATTTGAAAGCGATGTTGATGTGTCTGATGGTGAGGATGATAGGGAGACTATATTCAGTTCAGTTGATCTGCTGTCACCAAGTGGTCAGGCTGATGCTCAGACTTTGGCCATGATGCTTCAGGAACAGTTGGATGCAATCAACAAAGAGATTAGGTATGGTTTATCTGCTGTTATGATTTTCTGTCCATTCAGTCCCCTTGGGTAGGGGGAGGAAAACTTGACAGACTTAGAGTATTTGACAACTTCTGAAGTGTCAAACTTTTAAATGTACATGGAAAAAAATAGTTACATAGCAGGCAGTAGTGGTGGATACAACTGTTTCATGAAAGTACAAGATACAAGTATTAATTGGCATGTGCTAAATCGTAACTCGTTATGACTGGGTACACTGCCGATCATACCTGGGGTAACTATTCCTGATTTTATAATGCGCCACCCAAGTTTCTTGAAACAAACTACCTTTTGTTTCACAAGAGTTTGAAGTTCTGAGATGTATGGAATGCTTCTGGAAAGACTGCAGTTTCTTCTTTCTGTGGATGACGTAGAGGCTTTAATGGTAAAATGTTTGTCATACGGCATAGATTTTTTTTTAATAGGAAAATACTTTCATTAATAATTCACAAAGCACCTTCCAAATGAATCTTATAAAATCCTTGTGAAAGGGACACTGTTATATTGCAGGGGAAATAAGGTGCGCGGAAGTATACGCGTTACGACAGTAGCTCTTCAGTTGCAAGTCTAGCCTTCTCTGTCTGTTGTCCAGGTATTTTTAGTTCAAACTTAATATGTTGTTATACTTAAAAATAATAAAATAGCCTTCTGTACCTAAACTTCCCTCCTTAACTAGTTGCTATATGCCTAAGTATGCTTTTCAGGTTCTTTGTTTAAGAAAATATATTTCATTTTCCTCTTTTAAAAGCCTTAGTCCCATTTATGGAAGGGATCATGTATTACTAGTTTGACAGGACCCCCTTTGTAGTGGTAATAGCAGTTGTATTTACCACCTTTTTTTCCCTGACTGAATTAGAAGATTTCAGTGTGGCTGTTTTGTCTTCTAAGTATTGTGTGTATTTGTAGGGGGGAGGGATGTGTTTTTAAATTATGCCTGGGTCAGCCATTTTCTTTGTGGTGTTTAACTGGTGTGTTCCTTTGGAATTTCTTTTTAGACTTATACAAGAAGAAAAGGAAAACACAGAACAACGGGCAGAGGAAATAGAAAGCAGAGTAGGTAGTGGAAGCTTGGACACCCATGGTCGTTTTCGGTCAATGAGCTCCATTCCTCCTCCATATGCAGCTGGTTCCCTTGCTGGGTCTTCCCCTCCTGGCAGTGGCCGCTCCACCCCAAGGCGGATCCCACATAGTCCAGCTCGGGAAGTGGACAGACTAGGTATCATGACACTGGTAAGTATCCATTAATTTTAATTTTCCAGAAGATGGTCTTCCTTTCCTTTAGGAAAGGAGAGAATTAATTTGTTCCCTTTTTATTCAGCTGTATTTTTAGTCTCGCTAGGTTTCTCTATTGTTCTGTTTCACCTTCTCTGAAAAGTGTAAGCTATAGTCATAGTCCATATATTTGAAAAGTTCAAAACCCAGTAAGTAGCACTATGTGGTCGACATCTCATGCCTTCTATTCTGGTCTTGCTCTCTCCTGCTTTCCCTTTCTAGGACTAATGTTTTCTTCCCAAGCCCTGGTACAGCAGCCAGTTGCTCCCTCTGTTTTAAACATCAGTAAAACACATTTATGTAAAGTTTATTTTTAACAGTCCATTAGCTGAATATTCAGTAGAATAAAAAGTGATTTACATATCTGCTTTGCGTCATTCTTGAAGATCGAGTATTTTATATCAGTTTTTTTTTTTTAAAGAAATGAATGCTAGTGTCTTGTTTTAGCCTGTTGAGACTTTTAGGTAGAAGAAATATCTGTTAGACTTGGTATTTGACCAAGTAATAGCTTGGGCTAGCAGTTCAGTGAGTAGCGAAAGAGGGATCTGTTCTCTGACATTGATATAACTGCTCAGAAAAATTAATCCTTCTAGAAAATGCTTTATGTGTGTAAATCTATTTGTAACAACAAGATACAACTTTCCAGCCATTTTTGTTTTTACTCAAGTGTTAAGCAAACCCAACAGTTTCTTGTATCTGGAATACTTTTTGCTGAGGAGCATGTTAGATTCAGGTATTTGCAAGCACTTTCTAGGAAAAGTTCCTCCTCTAACATATCCCCATGTACCTTATTTTTGTCTCCAGACTTGCATATGCATTTAAAAACCGTACCTATAGTTGCACATGTAACAACATACTTACCACACCTTATTATCCTGAGTTACTGCACTTCCATCGTGCCTATGCTATGTCAGTTGGTAGAAGAGGAACGTTGTCACATACTGATATTGCAGATGTACTGTAAAACACTGACTAGGCTCATTTTGGTTTCTTGAAGGAGTGTTTAAAAGCAAATATTTCTACCTAGTTTGCAAACTTTCCAAAGTGAATCTGTATGTATACTGAAGGTCTATGTTTTCCTTCCTTTTTAACCTTAAGGAGGAATCATTTGACCCTTCCTACATTAAGCAAAATCATTGTACTAGCTCTAGTCATATATCCAAAGTCAAGCACATTAGAAAACTCTTACTGCGTGGAAGTAAACTATTGCCTGCACTCTATCTTTTGAGTTACTACAGTAATAACTGCTTTTTACTATGTGGGAAACAAAACTGCAAAAATGGCTACGCTGTGAGAAGTGACTCAAATGCAAACAACATACTAAACTTGCCTGCAGTGACTACCATTTACGTTATATAGTTCAAGGAGGGTCCTTGACACAGAACTGGAAATCCTCTCACTTTTGAAAAGCAGCACCTCACTCAAGTGCACTTTGCTGTTTTTCTTACTGAAGATAATGCATATATATAATATATAATTTTTTTTTCCTCAGGGATACACTTAAATATTTTGTCATTTGAGGAGTACTTCATACCGTGCATCATCTTCTGTGCCATAGCTGTTGCTGTTATAGTGTCTTGAATATATTTTGTCTTAGTGGTTTGAATTTGTGTTAGCATTTACAATAAATATGGCTCTCTTTAAATTTTTTTTCTTTGCATGCATCTGTCAGCCTAGTGATTTAAGGAAACACCGTAGAAAGGTAAAAATCTTGAGTTTATTTACTGGTGTACCTCTATTCCTTCCCTGCACCCTAACTCATAAATGGAAAACAGGAAAATAAGATTTGTGTTTGTTTGCAGCATAACCGTATAATACAGCAAGATTATATGCTCTTTGATATTAAAAATATAAAGCATTTAATGTTTATCAGAAAAGACTTTACAGAGCAGATGAAATTACTGTAGTTCTTAGTCCTGTATATGAGAAAAGGACAACTGCTACTTGCTCATTTTATTAGCTAAGATTGAAATGTAGTAGTTTTCAATGGCAGTAACAGGAAACTTAACAAAGATTTCAAGGGTAAAACATGCAGCTCCAGAATAAGAGAAAGAAGTCTTTAACGCCGAAGCGATGAATTTTCCTTTTAATCTTTTGTGTAGCAATACTAGATTCACGTTGTAGCATATTCCAACTAAACCCTCAAGTTTTCATTCATTTTCCATTAGTCTCCAGCTTCTAGAGAAGAGGTACGAGATGATAAAACTACCATAAAATGTGAGACATCACCACCATCCTCACCTCGATCTTTGCGTTTGGACAGAGTCCAAAAAGGCGCTTTGCATACAGTGAGCCATGAAGATATCAGGGACATAAGAAAGTAAGTAGCTTTGAAGAGTCATACCTACCAGTAAGATTGATATTTCAGATTATCACACTAAAATGTGTCTTGAAAGTGAAAAATGTGAACACATAAATGAGTAAGTACATTGCATAAACAGTACAGATTTTGTTCATGGTTGAAAGTGGTTTTGTGTGAATTCTTTTCTGATTCCAGAATTCTACATGAAGTTTCCTTTGCATTTTAAAAATGAAAGAGAGAAAATTCCATTTTCTTTCATGGGTTTGAATTTAAGTTATAAATGTAGAGAAAGTTCCAAAATTATCATCATTTTTAATTAGTAGGTGCTGTTTTCAAAGTGCCTAACTGGGATCAATTTTACTCAATTTTAAACTTCAGCTTTCTTTTAATTTGTAAGGAAATTTGGTCGTCAACTTTGACTTTTCTGAATTGTACTTTAAGTGTTCTAATTACTCTTGCTTCTTAAAAGTAATATAGACTTGCAAGTCCTTGTTGTAATATATATTCTGTCCCTTTTTTTTATTGTGTGATTTAGTTTCCACTATTTATTTTATTTAATGACATACTAAAGTAGATCTGTTTCTTTCCACGAGACTCATTAAAAACTGAAAATGAAAACTCAAACTCACTAATGACATCTATTCGTTTGCACAAAAAAAAGTTGTCTTTCACTAAGTTGCTGTGCACATGCTCCTTTTTAACTCTTCTTTTTGTGAAGTTCAACAGGCTCACAAGATGGACAAGCAAGTAATCCTAGTAGCAGCAATAGTAGCCAGGATTCCCTCCATAAGGCCCCCAAAAAGAAGGGGATCAAATCCTCCATTGGCCGTTTGTTTGGCAAGAAAGAAAAGGGACGACCTGGACAAACCAGTAAAGACACATTAGGACAAGGTTGGTTTACTGATCTTTATCAGCATATTAGAGAGAGAGTGATTTTTTAGGATGTATGTCTCTGTATGTGTGTGTGGCTTATGACTGATTATTTTGATGCTGGTGTGCAGCATTTTTTCCAAACTAGTGACACTGACTTTTCTGGTAGGTCCTTTTATGATTGTAGTGCACAAGTTCAGCTTGCCAGTTTTTTGTCTTTTGCTCTACCGTTTACTAGACCTTTCTTAACGCCTTCATTAGGAAGACAGAGTTGAATAGTGTTAGTCTTGTTGCCCTCCCTGCCTACTGCAGAAAGTGCTTTGCTGCCAAAGAGTCAAAGCTGAGACAATTCAGTAAGCAGCCACAAAAGACATGGGTCCATGAGGAAGAAGACCGAGTGCCAAATTTGTTTTCTTGCATATCAGTTCTTAATAGTTCACTCATCTCTGATTTTTGTATTTAAGATATATTATGTTACGGTGTTCATTACACTGATCAATCAGACTGAAAGCCATAGTATACTTCTTAGAGCTGAGCCAGGAAGAGAAAGCTAAGTCCTATCTGTTGTTTTATTGCCTGATGGTATTGCAGGAGATAGTTCCTGCCCACCTTTATGCCTGCAAGTGACCTGAGGCCTCTCAGTAGATTTTGGGTCGCAGCATGTCTTGCATGTGTGTGACTCTTGGCCAACAGTTAGTAGTAGCTGAACATAAGAAAACTAGCGTTGAGTTGTAATCATAAGAAAGAGGTAGATTTTGAAAGTACAGACATTTGTTTTGAAATGGTGTATAACAGAATTGGAAGGACAAATAACACTTTTTGTCATGCTTGCCACAGATGAATGGTGTATAAAGCTAAAAACAAAACAAATATGGTGGAATTTCTAAAATTAAAAATGGTGTTCCTTTTAATAGGAAAACTAGATCAAGGTTCCAGGCCTTCTTAAAATAATACATTTTAAAAATCTTGGTACTTGTCAGGTTGATTTGCAACTGTCTGCGTTCTAATATAGACCAGCTTTGGTTAGTTGATGCTATGGAAGCTATTAGTGTGTTAATAACCGAAGCTGCACGCTTGAAGACGTTTGTTATATGTTCTGGAGCGCTGATGCAACCTTGCTAGCAGGAGTCATTTTTCAAGTATTAGTGTAAATCAGCACAAAAATACTAGGGTAAAAGTGCTGTTGCATCCATTTTGATTGTAGTGCCTTTTGGTTCCTAAGAAGTTCCACTAGTAATGAGCACACCTCATAAACACGGAATAGTATTTCCAAGACAACATAGACAAGGCAGATGAGTGAGTTACTTAATAGATGAGAATCCTGGTGAAGAACTGTCAAATGGTACTTAAGAATTGGACTTGAAAAAATAAGGTCAGAAACAATTTACCAACACAGATAAAGTAAATTAGTTTGTGCATTTATTATATACTAACTGTCCCTTATACTAAATTACTTGCTGTACACCACTTGGATAAGGCAAGCGTGTCCCAGGCAGACTTTTAAAAAAAACAAAGCACTTTAACATTAGAGTTGCACAGCAGGTACTGCTGAAAGGTAATACCAGATTGTTTTCTACTAGCATATATATGTTGCAACATGTGACAAGTCATCTCTCTTGTATTAACTTCTTCATAACCCTAATAGTAAAGGGACCTGTTTTAACTTTGCTTATTATTGCAGCAAAAAGCTGCAAAAGGTTCCATTTGGACCAAAGATAGTCTCAAGATGACTGGCATCTGTTGGTGCTAGTATGCATAAAGCTACCACTGCACTGATATGTGGTGAAAAGCTGCTTGCAAGCTTCAGCAGTGCTGTCCAGTCAGTGGAGAACTGTGTTGGTGAAGTTGAAATAGATTCATCTATGGGGTGAACAGTGAAAACCAGTGCAAAGAATAATGCAGTATGTAGATACAAAGTCGGTCACACTGGATTTTCTGAGAGGTCTGTATCTTGCTAGTAAGCTGCCAGGCTTTTGATCATAACATTCTTTATCACTTTTTGCAAAATAAATACTGGCTATTTCCATTGCAAGTCACTGCACTGTTGACGCAATCCACTCTTAAGATTGACAGCATGCCTGGTGACGAGCTTTTTTCTGATCGCTGCTTTACTTTATCCAAAAATAAGCATTGTAACCCAGAAACATGCTGGCTTAAAATGGTAGGTTGTCACTGGGATTTTCCAAGTTTGGCTTGACATGACGCACCGATGAATAGAGCACTTTGAAGCCCCTTGCATTGTACCCGTGCAATGAAATACCACCCATTAAGCGAGTGCATTTTTTCCCAGATTAGATGCCAATAAAACATGTAACAATGCATAGGGAATTTGCAGTTCTAATTCTAGGACCAGTAATCATCAATTTCTATGTAGATGATGGGGCAATATGGCGTCTGTGCTAATAATACCTAGCAATACTTTCTGTCACTTTCTTTATTTGTTATTGCTTTGTTAGAAAACAGCGTAGGCAATATTAGCAAGTTAGATTCTGATCCTTAAACCTGGAATTGTCCTTGATTCTAGACTTAGTTTTATAACTAAGCATCTAACGTATATACTCTTCATATGCTGCACAAGTTATTGCTTTCCCCGTATCTTCATTCTGCTCCTGTTCAATATCCGTTGCGTTAGCTTCAGCTGGGAAGAAATGGACATGATGTCAGTGTTTTGTTTTGTTCAAGTGCTGAGTGTTAGGTCTCCATTGAGCTCAAGTAACATGTCAGCTCAAACAGTATGAAGATGACTAAGCCCTTCTTCAACTTACTACAAAAGAACAAGACAAGGCGCAAGCACTGGAGTTAGCCTTGCTGCTTTTGTAATCAAAACCCAGACTGAAGATGAATCCAGTTTAGACAGTAGTGCCTAATGGGGAGTAGAGTAGATGAGTAGCTACAGTTTTAGTCAGTATATTTTTATTGTTCGCTGGCCTTTACTGAACTGTGAAGGCTTGCTTGATGAAGCAAACATCTCAACTGTGTCTCTGAGTGAGAGAGGCATTTATTATTTTGACACCAGCAGTGTTGTCTTTACTTTTGGATCTGAAGGAACTTCCTTAAAATGAGCACAGGTGGCTCAGTGAATGCTGTGGTTACCTTTCTCTCTTGTATAATTTTGTCCATAAAGCAGTAATTTTAATACTGACACCAACTATTGGTGACCTGGGAACGATGAGATTGATCTTAAAGGTAGTTGAAACCCGAGTTTCTCAGTCTGATTCTAACTGATTTTAGGCAGCACCTATCTGAGTCCATAAAAGTGTTTCCTGTTTTTGTACGCTATTTTTGATAAGTATTAGTTCAACTAGAAAATGTAGTGATGTGTGAGCCTGAAAGCTTTGGCTTCTAAATAGATTCTGTCATCACTGCACTCAGTTTTATAAACACTTACCCATGGAAGTCTTAGAGCTAAGCTTTCCTATAGGTTTTATAACTTTTGTGCTTTGTTAGTGGCATAACCCAAACCAAATGACATGAAGCTACATACCTGAAATGGAAACGGAAAACTGGCATCTTTGAGATAGTCCGAAGATTATCCAAATCGCTAGTTCTGTTCTGACGATGGTATATGTAACTATTGTGAATATAGTGGCTATTGTATTTACCAATTATGTCTATTTAGTCTATGTGAGAGCATATTTACATAGAGCTGATAGGCATTTCATAATCTCCTTTGAGTATTCCAGGCAGAGTCTGGTAGGGTCACTACCTGGAGTTGCTAGCAATGCATTCACATCACATCACTTTCTGGTTCAAAAGCTCATATGGGATATGTTGTGGCGGTGTGCTGACACCGATCTCAAGTAAAACTCATCCTTTCTGTATAGGTTTTGCCATCAAGGCTAGAGTATGGAGCAGAGAACTGTTTAGGAGAGGACTATTTGTAGTTTTCTTACTCCTTTTCCTCTTCCTGCCCCTGCTCCCACCGCTCCCCACAATGTCACTGCTCTACCTACTCTTCTGGTTGGAATCTCCTTTTACACGTTTTGGTACTGTAGCTGAATCGCTCTTTACTGCTGCTTCACCGCTCTGCTGTGATAACCAAGAGAGTATAGGGGAGAGAGTATGATTATGCTAAATAGTAAGAACAACAATTTTCTCAGCCCATACACATCTCTAGGATGGCCCTATTTACAGGTTTTAACTGCTGTGTGTGTTTAACTGCTGTTTTATAGGCAGGAAAAAGCTGTGTTGTTTTTGTTTCTGTGCCACTTCAATTGAAGGAGATTTCCCGATAAAATCAAAGTGTATATTTCTGATCAATAGTGTTATCAAGGGTTAAATACTTCTCTTTGGTAATGCTGTGGTGATTTTTGAATTGTAACTATGTGGCCAAACTTGAAAATAACAAGACTGTTGGCGTGTTTTGTTTGTGTTTGTAGTTGGTATGGCAGAAGCAGATAGTTCCTCTCAGGATGCATTAGGTCTCAGCAAACTTGGAGGTCAGGCAGAAAAAAACAGGAAACTACAGAAAAAGTAAGTTATCTAATATTTTTAATTATCTGTCTTTAAAGCATTTGTTTATGTAAAAAAAATTTTTTTTTTCCTTGACTCTCTTTTTCAGGCATTTGTGCCTAGTATAGTCCAGGTAGACTCTTTTTTTTTTTTAAACTCACTTTTCCAGAACCTTAATAGTGATAAGGTCTTGCCAAGTTTGAAACTAATTTTAGCGCTGAAAGTTTATAACGGTGATAAACAAAGGTGGCGATAAAAGTGGACCCTTTTCAAATCTTCCCCCCAGATTTGTTATATTTAATATATATTTCTGTTGCAGCTGCTAGTTCCTTTATGTTTTCACTCTTTTTTTCCCCTCTATTCAAGGTTATTTTGATTTTTCTCATGTATTTTAACAGCTGAAATATTTTTTTTTTTTCCTTTGCACCATATACCCTTAATTTTGTGTGTGTGTGAATCCTTCCATTGTGTTTTATGGCAGCCTTTAGACATGCAGTTATCTCTTTCCTAGTTACTAGAATTTTTTTGATTTCAGTCCAAGAAAAACTTCATGATTTAAAGTTCACCTTTTGAATATCTACTGCATATTTTGTTATCCCCAGACTTAGAGGAGATGAAGCAGACACTAAAAAGCGTGGGTGAGAAATAGATACTGCTACTATTAGAAATCATGGGTTGATGCTTAAATGGTAATTCAGAAAACACTCAAACCTATGCAAGCAGGAGCAGGTGTTCTTTGCATATTTTCCCTTCCAAAGCTGGGCCATATACTTTGTTGCTTTTGTTCTGTTTGGCTGTCACTGCTCCTTTGTCAAATATCTCCTTTGTCTTTGAGATCAGGCATTTACATCTTGCTTTTTTGGCTTGCCTCGTGGAAGATTAAATAATGAATGTTGAAAAGAGAGAGTGCTAAGTTTCTCTCTCTAAGAGATTTCTTGCAACATCTAAGTTATCTTGGCAAATAAAAATAATGCCCGGTGCTTTTGCTAGTGTGCCGATTTGAAAAGTCGGAAAGGAATGTGGTTTTGTTTATATGACAGAACGGTCAAGTGCCTGTCTTCAGACTGTTACAGCCAAGGCAATCTTCCACTGTTATGACCTGATATTCTTCCTTTTCTGCAGAGCTTTAAAATCGTACCATATCTTGATTGAACAAAAAGCTTTAGCCTGGTGACATCTGGACAGTGATAGGCCTATTCTTGAGCAGTTTAGATCTTTCTCAATACCAGCAACAAATTTCATTCTATACTAAACAATCTATATTGCCTTGCTTTAATAAATAGAAAAATGCCGATGCAATTAAATTGAGATTTGTCTTTGTTTAAAATATACATCTGTGTGTGTATAAAATATAAAACAGCATTGTATTATGTGTTATTATCAATTATTGTATTTACTAACAAACAAATATAAAAATTATATATAGAGGAGATATATTTTTATATATATATATAAATACACACACACACACACACACACACACATATATTTTTTTTTTCTCCTGCCTTGCAAAAATTTATTGCTGTTACTTAAAGTATACCTTATGGTTGCATGTTATTGGTTGTCACCTACTTGCCGAGTTGCTTGAGAAGCGAGTGTATATTTGACAAATGAAAACTTGTAGTTTGAAATTGACTTGTCTAAAGCAAAAGCTGAGAGATTGTCTGATGTTTGGCAGTTCTGTATGACCAATAGGATATGGATAAATATTTACTCATAGGAAGATACCTATGATGTGTTGGAGATTTCAGTTAAAGTAGGTATGAAGCAAGACTGTGCTGATGAAAATACTTATAATGCATAGATTTATTACTCTTACTGCTGAGAGCAGCTGCAGAGCTCTTTTGACCTTCCATGAGAAACAAATCTACCAAGTTAAAAATATACGTGAATTCAGCTGTTCCAGAATCTTGCCAAGGCTCCTGAATACAGCTAGCAGTGCTACCACATGCTCATTACTGGGGGGGAGTAAAGTTGCTCTGAATTGCTGTTCACTCTGACCCTGGAGATAGAAAGGGTTGAAACAAATTCTCAAGGCTGACTGTGCAAGGTAATTGCACGTGCAGTGTCAGCCTTGACTACGTGCACACATGCATTAAGTGAAAAGCATGGGACCAGCTTGACAAAGAATACCAGTTACCTATGTGTTTGAAACAATAACAACTACTACTATTTATACTGTTTTCTCTTTTTAATCTCTATTTGCTTATCTTCTTGATTTCTGCAAGCATGCACACAAACAGGCTAAGGGCAGTATTCGGTGTCTTTACTAAAAAAGCCTATTTATAGTTAGAGCTAAATTACAGTACATGTCACTTTGTTTTTTTGTATGCCTTTGAGATCAGTTTAATCTTAGTTTTATATTTTTTTTCTTCATTCTTTTATTTTCCTTTTGTTTACCATTTGATGTGGTAGTGCAAAATCAGGGTAAGTTTATACCTATTTTATTAGGATTGTTGTGAATTTATGATAAACTGCTTGGATTTTTAGCAATATGTAAAAAGCTCTTAAAAGTGTAATCAGAGATGATACTAGATTCAGAAATAATTATTGTGAAAACATTTCGCTGAAATGCGTCCAGTGTCTTTTTAATGCTCGTTCAATGTTACATCTTAATTTGCATAGTGTGAATTTTTTATAATGGAAATATTTGATCTTATTTAGTTGGAATTAGCTTTTTAGTTTAGATTTTTAAAGTTATTTAACAGTAGTAGGTACTCATGGCCATTCACTTACCGGGTGTTTCTGTAAAACTGTCATTCTTTGCTTACTAAATCTGAGTTGTTTTTAATGTTTCATCCGTGCTGTTCCTTTTCTTTGTGAGCTGTGCTGTTGACAGTGTTTGCCACAACTGTATTTGTGCTTTTCTGTATATACAACAAACTCTCAATAATGCTGTATTAATCAAAAAGGAAAGCAACCCTAAATTTAAGATAATCCTCCTAAATAAAAGTTTATACATGAAAAGTTTTTGATTACATAGCTCTAATCAATATATAATATCAACTTTCCACTGATGCTTCACCTGGAGTTAGTCTGTTTTTATTTCATATTTTATAACTATTACTTTCAGTTTTTACGCCCTTTTTTTTGTCATTTGCATCACTATCAATCTCTTAACTGTCTTCACTTTTTTTTTCCTTCCAGCTTTTTCTCTGTTCTCAACTTTTTCTAAATAAGTTGTCTTCAGTTTCATTTATGAAACTTGAAATACAGCACTTCATAAACCCTTTCGCTACAACCCCTGGATTTACCCATTCCCTTGCTATCTTAATCCAGTGACAAGATAGTGTTGCACTAGGCTTCTTTATTTTCCTAGCAGGGTTAGAGCATGGTGGCCTGCCAAGAGCCCCTCTAAGTGTAAGACTTCAAATGGCCTTTAAAGGACTTGCTTGTTCACTACTACATCAAGCACCTGCAGTTGTGACAGCACTCCTCTTCATATAACACCACAAGTTCTTCGGTATGCTTCACTGCAGGTGTTAGAGGTCTTTTGAATGTATCTAAGGACAAGCTTTTCTCTCTTCCAACCGCATGCTTGCTCTCCCATTCCAAATAATGTTCAGCCAATTCTTCATCAAGTCTGTAGACATCCATCTCTTGGTTTTGTCACCTACTTTGGCAGTAGGCAGCTGTTTCTTTGCCATCCCTTTATCTTTTGAAGTGGCAGCTTCATACCATTTGTTAACACTGCCAACATTACTGCAAAGTGCTGCTTTTTTTCCTCTCCCAACATTTTCATGATGATGGAATTTGTACCTGTTTTCTAATTGATGTAATTGGATGGCATGTGAAACTAAACTGATGTGTCATCTACATTACCCGTTTGGCTTAGAAGGTAATTATGATCTTTAGATAACCTGATCATGCATTGCTGGAATGCAATGAGCTTCTTGGTGAAGTCCGAAGGTAGATGTTTGCAAAGTAAAGCTCTTTACTGTAGGCAAAAACCATTACATTGCATCATTCACAGATACCAACTGTATCTGCCCTTGAATTTTTACTGAGAGATGTTATGCTTGTGCTATGTCTTCAGCTTTCAGTTTGACAAGTGTCAACTTCAGTTTTTGTGAAGTGTAACTTGAGTTTTTGTCTTTTTTGCATATGAATAAATTCTGCAATCTGTTTTCTACTTCATGGAAGCATTCCTTTTTGGGCCTGTTGCATAATTTTTGCATCAGATTAGCTCAAAAACTTCTGTTTTGTTTGTTTATATTAACCTGAGGGCCGCCATCCTGTTATGTTTACCTCCAGCCACGCAATTTTTTTCTGCATGCAGTACCACCGTGAGTTTAAAATTTGCATCATAACGTCTTACACTTTTGATACATTCCCCCTATCCAAACGATCCCCTCATATCCCCTCATATCCAAACGATCTGCTGCTTTACAGTTAACCTAAAGGACTCGAGGAGACTCATAAAACGACCAGAAATTTAGTGCCTTTCTGTGAACTACATTAACCTCAAATAGCTTTATAAGCCAGTGTTTGGGGCATGGGAAATCACACGCTGTTGTCAGACAGTGCTAGTCAAAGATCAGGCTGTGGGCATCTCTGCTTCTTCGTCTCTAGTGGGCTTCCCTCACTGCTCCGCCATGTTACCGTGCCAACCTGAAAGGAAGATAAGTGCACCAGTTTTGAAGTTAAACTGCTCAGAAGAAAAACATTGTATTCCTTTTTGACAAATACAGTATTAAGCATTTTATTCTACTCTTTCCAAAGGGCGTTTTATAACATAGTATTTTATTTTGTCCTCTTTTGAAAAGACTTTGATTTTGTTATTTAAAACTGAATGTGTTTAGGTCTGATGATTTGAGGGCTGAATGCAACAGGTTCAGTTATTTTCATGCCATCACAAATCTTTCATTCCTAATTAAAAATATATATATTTTTAAAGCGTACAAAAGTGTAGCTCTTTGGGTCTCTGTTGTTGGGTTTTCTTATTTTTTTGTTTTTGTTTGTTTTTAGTGAAATCTAGCTATTGAGCTGCTAACTCTATTTCACCTTTTTTGGATCTTAAAATGGATACATTAGAATGGTGATTTGCAACTAGAGAGTCAGACACTTCCTCCCCACCTTTTTTCTTTCCCTGAGTAGTATATTTCATTAGGATCAAGTATTGGAGGTTTTTGTGGAGTAATAGGAGTTATTGTTCATGCAGGTGGAGTAGTAGTGTCTTTTGACAGAACAGTTGCTAGCATTTTTATGCCTTCACTGGTTATTTTTGAAATTTAGATATCCATCAATTTAATATGCGGCTCCTAGGTTGCTGGTGTGTCTAGAAAAATGAATTTGATATTTCATATCCATTTTGCAGTAGTAGCAAAAAAAGCTAGTAGTCTGTCAGTATCCTCTTTTCAAGATCTGTGTTGTGTGATAGCTTTGTAAAATCTCTAACTTGTAAATGTTTTTTTTTTTAAACCTTAAAAGTATTCAGCAATACAGCTCTGGAGGGAGGGAGGTTTTGTTGGTGTTAGTTGTAACAAAAGTGTAAATATATAACGTAAGATCCTGAATCTGTAGTATTGCTGTATATCTTAATCTTATACTTGCAGGTATGAATACAAAAAATAGAAAAACATAGAGCAGTATTGTCCAGTTGAGATGAATTCATTTCTCTAAACTTCAAAGGAGAAGGAATGGAGTCCTAACTATAAACACCTAATTTTCAAAGCCACGTAGCCAGCATGAACGTGTGTTTTCAGATGATTTCATTTATTTTTTTTTTTCCTAGCGATGTCTAAACAACGTTACATGTTATACCTGCAACACTGCTTTTTGCCTATAGGCTTACCTTTCCTTTAACATGAAACAGTTTGGACAGCCATATAGGGATTTAGCTAGCTGCCGTAGTTTCTGTAAGCTGAATTGTTGATATTAAAACTTCAGTCTGTTGTGTTTCAGAATAGCTAAAGGGGTAGTGTAGCTGCAGGAGATCAGAGCTGAGTTTAAGTACCCAGTGTTTCAGAATGTAATTGCTAAAGTGTGGCTGTCTGAAGGTAAGAGTAGTCCAAAGCTGTGCCTGAAACTCTTGACAAACTTGCTGTTGGAGACGAAGTTCATCGGTTAAATGGTTACTGTTCCCAGTTTCCAGCCTCAACTTTGGACAGTACCATTTCTGTGGCATGGATCTGATCTACTGTTGAATTCACTCTAATATGCTGAACAGACAGACAATTGCACCAATTGAGAATCTGATTGACAAGTCAAACATCTCCGCTTTGTGGTGGCAGTGTTGGTCAGAGTGACAGTAGCATCTTCCTGGGCAGGTTGTTCTTTTGCATTTCCAAAAGCAAGATTCAGCTTTTCTGCCACACTATCCAGTTCCTGTCCAGTTCAGCTTACATCACTATGTAGTCCTTTTTTGCCCTAGCAGATACTTCATTGCATTTGTAAGGCTGAGAAAGGAAAAAAGCTAAATGTTGGAAAGAAATAGTAATGTGAATGCAGTGCCTAATCTGATATATTTGCACTAGTTTCTACTTGTTTTAATAACTGTTTCTGTAATTGTAGGCATGAGTTGCTTGAGGAAGCCAGAAGACAAGGATTACCTTTTGCCCAGTGGGATGGGCCTACAGTGGTTGTGTGGTTGGAGGTGAGTGGTCTGTGTTTTTTTGTTTTGTTTAGTTTTTAAGAAATGTAAGGTTTTGTGCAGGACTGTTTTCCATATCCTGCTTGCTTCCTGTTTTGTGTTTCAGCTCTGGGTAGGGATGCCAGCCTGGTATGTAGCTGCTTGCCGAGCAAATGTGAAAAGCGGTGCTATCATGTCAGCCTTGTCTGATACAGAAATACAGCGTGAAATTGGAATCAGTAATCCTCTGCACAGATTGAAGCTGAGGCTTGCCATTCAAGAGATCATGTCACTAACAAGTCCATCTGCCCCTCCCACCTCAAGGACGGTAAGGAAAGTGATCCAGCATCAAACTGGATGTAACTGGATCAAACTTTAGAAACTGTAGAAGCTTCTGCAGAGATTTCCAAAAATTCTACGATATGCAACCAAAAAGATTTGAGCTTCAAATAAGAATTTCTTGAAATGTGTTTTAAATTGTAGTGAACACGTGATCGTTTAATTAGGATGTCTTTTCCTTTCATAGAAGTTAAATGAAAGAATAATTACACTTTTTTCTTAAGGGAAAAAAAGTAGTTTACATCAGTTTAAGTATGCAAGCTCGAAATGTAATGTAAAATGTTTAGAATACATGTTATTTGCCTCATTATTTAATGCCCCCCCCCAAAAAAAAAACTTGTAATATAGATGAAGTATACTTATATATACAGAAATTTGTAAAACAGTTGGAAGCTTTTTATTTGTTATCCATGTATAAGGCCATTAACTCCAAACAGTGATTGAGATTCCATGAACTCAGAGCCCACTTGTCTCTGTATACTATAAAGAGACATCAGCAAGTTTAGCCGTCCAAAGTTAGTGAATTCCCCTGCCATGGGTCTATCTACCCTGCAGTCTAAAGCTGTTTGTGATTTCTGGGATTATGTACTAGGCTGCAACTGCATTTTTCGGATTACAGCATAATCAAGTGTTTGTCTGTTAATTACATCAGTGTAAGCTATTTATCACATTCAATTTTGCTAGTATCCTTGAAGAAAAGTGATCCGTGTTAATAGGCTTATTCTGTGCCATCATTTTAAATGGCTAACCTATACATAAGACTTTAGAAACCATTGCTTTTGCCCATGCCTGCTCCTTTTATGTACCAATTGCTTATATGTTCTGCAACCTTTCCTTCTTGTTACTGCTTTCCTTTCATTGGATGTGATTGGTTCACTGTGGGGTCATATTAGACTACGGGAAATGTCTGGGTAACACATGAAGAAATGGAAAATCTTACAGCCACACAACAAACGGTTAGTTTACGGTGTTGCCACTTCTGTTCTTTAGAGTGCTTTTTTTTTTTTTAAACTTTTTTAAACACTTGAATCAAATGCCCTTTGGTCTTTTTTCCAAAAAATAAAAAATAAAATAAAATAAATTAATGTCTTAAACTTACTTTAGATTACGTCTTCTAATTATTAACCTTGTAACCTGCATCTTGATAAATTTTTCCAGAAGGGGAAGAGATCAACTTTGATATTACTGTAAACAAAACTTCAATAATTTGCAAGAGGGGGCTCTGATTTGATTAACTATGCTCGTGGCCAGATTGAATTATTTGTGCATTGATTTCTTTTTTCCAGAAAACTTAATCAGTAGATGGATTTTCCAACTTCTAGGAAAATGAATATCTTGTTTTTTTTTTTTAAATGCATGATGCTTGCTTTATCTAGATCTTTTCATATGCAGTAGACTTAGAGCCTTGCAGTGCATCGTTAACTCTGATCTCCTTACTAAACTTAAATACTAATACATATGTGTTCTTTTGCTTTTCTAACCACGTAACAGGAAGATGAGGAGGGAAGCTGGGCTCAGGTTGGAAACTTTATGTAATATTTTAGTGTATATGTAAATGGTCATAATTACACATGAAAGCATCTGTTTTTTTATAGCTATTTCATTTAGTATCTGCTGGTGTGTCTTGGGGGTTGGGAGAGGACAAAGCTATTACAGGTTTATCTCTACATAATACACAAAAGATAAACATCTAAGTATACCTAATAGCATATTTACTAAATATACAGGTTTAAGTATTTTCTAGCACTTCCAAGATTAGCTGGTGTATCATGAACAAACTTGAAAAAATGCTAACTTTGTTACATAGTATATCACAAAAAAAGCTTTGCATGTTTTTTTCTAATAGTAGGACTAGTAGAGGAAGAATATTCAGAAGTCTTTATGGTTAGCTTTCTGAAATATTTATCCTCTAGCTTATGAATCACCAAAATGAAGTTACTCTTTCTTAATGAGCATTGTGATGTTCTGTGTATGAACAGAATAGATCAAATAAATGGTCAGCTAATTTTATGACCAAAAACCTGGAATGTTTTGGGGGGATGGCTCTCTGGGAAGCCAGAGGTCCAATGAAAATATCCGCTGTATGCAGAAAGTCCCTATTCTACCTGCCCACCATCCTAACGGTGCTACGATGCATACTGAGCCCAGACATTTAAGCAGATTTCTGCGCATTAGTGTTCTGTAATCCTCCTTGGCTAATTGTTTTCCCTTTAAAGTGATGATGAATCCTATTTGTATTTTCAGGTATTGAGATGGTTCAGTATTTGCTACAGGGGTATAAACAAAACTCAAGATTTGCCTGTGACCCATATCTTTAAACAGTAAACCCTCTTGTTTCTTTACTGCCCTCCACCTTAAACCTGTTTGTCCCATTAACTACTACTCAGATACTCATTTGAACATCGTCAACTATAAAAATCAAAGCTTGACACCTTATTAGAAGAGGAATGTGCTCTTTCAGTTTGCTGTCCAGGCTCAAAACAAAGATGTAGTATTCAATGTTTTGAGTTGCTTATTTTTTACAGATATAAAATTCAATAAGCATTGTTTTGCTTTTTTCTTTACAATGTCTTCTTGTCTTAAAAGGCTTTTCTCTGTATATTATTTTTTCTCTCTACCATTTTTTATTTTTAAAAAGCTTGTTCCTTTAATTTTTAAAAAACAGACTTTAGCCTATGGTGATATGAACCATGAGTGGATTGGCAATGAATGGCTCCCTAGTCTGGGACTCCCTCAGTATCGCAGTTACTTCATGGAGTGTCTTGTTGATGCTAGAATGCTGGATCATCTGACTAAGAAAGATCTCCGCGGACAACTTAAAATGGTGGACAGCTTTCACAGGTAATTAGAGTTAAGTTTGGAGACCAGACTTGTAGAAGATGTTTCAGTTGTCATCTCTAAATGTGTGTTTTCTTTTCTAAACAGAAACAGTTTTCAGTGTGGAATTATGTGCCTACGAAGACTGAACTATGATCGAAAGGAACTTGAAAGAAAAAGAGAAGAAAGCCAGAATGAAATTAAAGGTTAATGCTTTGCCTTCACATCAGTCTAAATCTAACCTGCTTTTGTTGATGTGCCTCAAATATGTTATAAAAACAAACAAACAAACAAAAAAAGACTTAGTGAGAGGAATTATTTATGAAATAACAAGTGTTAAATGCAGGAGAGATGTCTGTGTGTGGGCCCTGAATAGTGAATTATGAAACACGTCATTAAATCCTTCACTCTTGCAGAGGTGTGCAACAACTGGAGGCTTTTTTAAAACTCTTACTCCTCTGAAGTGTGAACTAAACACTTCATGAGGGATGAGGGTTTTGGAAAAAGCTTTTCCTGTTTTCAGATATTCACTTTGTATCTAAATAATTTTATTCTTGCTTGTGACTGGTAACTTTTATTACCCTGTACTGCATGAAAAATAGCCAGGTGACTTAAGTGTTTGTATTTTCTAGATTCATGGTGGTTATTGAGTACGAGAGAAAGCACTGAAGAAAAAGCAGGGAGGGAATTCACACCAGTTTCAACTTCCCATAGAAAATGTTTTGTTCCCTCCCTAATATCATAAGTCTTCTCTGCCGTCTTAGACTGGATTTTTCGGGTTGCCTTGTCCCCGCAATTTGCTTAAAAGGTTCTATGTCTTCTCTGTTGTGGTGATACTTTTTTGCTATTGTTTTAACAAATTAATTGTGCCCGGGAAGATTCCCAGGCATCACAGCTGACTGGCATAAAACAAGCCTCTGTCAAGGCTGCTGAGCTTTTTTTTAGCCTCCTAAATGGTATAACTACATCCATTGCTTATAGGGCAATGCTCTTTGGAACGTTTAACTCCTGAATTGTTTTTGGGAATGGTTTGGGAAGAATGCTAGTTGACACAGGCCAGAAACGTGCTGTGGACCATTTTAACAGTTGAATGGTACAGACATTCCTGAGCAGTGTAAAAACTACTAGTAAGAACATAATTTTTGTCTGCCGTTTGGGCTGAACACGTACATGGCACTTGATAAGGCTTTCCTTGAAAAAAATACAAGACAAGAGTACATTGATCTTTATACTGTTGTGGTGTGAAACGCCCTCCAGCAAATTCCAAATATATTTAGTTCCCACTTTAGATGTGTGATTGCAGAAAGCTGTAATATGAATACACAAGCCAAAGATAAGTCTGTGTTGCTAAAGTGAACACTGTCAGAACTTAAAGGTAGTTAAGATTATAGAACACTAGTAATTTTTAAAGGCTTCAGTTCACATTCAGTAGGAAACGTATGAGAAATTGTCATTAGGATTTTCTGAGTAATAAATCTTTTTTTCCAAAATATTTAGCCCCTCTTGGATGAGATAAGACTCTTAAGTGGCTGTGTAAAATGGAAGACCCTCTCTTTCTCCATTTACATGAATACTATGCCCAGCTGCACTTGTCTCCTAACAATTAATGTGACTGTAAGCTTCCCTCTGTAGGCAGAGAGGAGATTAAGTGAGAACAATTGCTTCTGGGTGCTCATTTATAAAACCATGCAAGGCAAACTACTGTATGGAAGGGATTGAACACCAAGTGTTTAGAGGCCTAAGCATGAGGTACTGTTTCCAGTTCAGAGCATCTTACACGCACCAAAAATGTTGGGGTAGCTTAGATACCACCCGAAAAGTTAAGTAACAAAATTTCTTGACAGCAATTGCAATGAATTGTGCATACATGAAAATTGATCCCTACACCAGCAAACTGCTCAGATAAGGGTTATGGTTGGTTGTTTAGACATGTTGTGTAATATAAATCAGGCAAATTTTTTCAAATCAGGCAGCTTTTTTTTTTTTCCCTGCACAGATGTCCTTGTCTGGAGCAATGATAGAATGATCCATTGGGTATTGTCCATTGGTCTTAAAGAATATGCGAATAACCTTATAGAGAGTGGAGTACATGGTGCACTTGTGGCCTTAGATGAAACATTTGATTACAACGCATTAGCTCTCTTATTACAAATACCTACTCAGAACACACAGGTAAGCAAGAATTAACAGTTACTTTATGACTGATAATGTTATTTCTTTATGAAGGTTCAAAAATTGAATGACTATTCTTAGCTTCTCTTAGGTGAGCACGTCTTTCTATTTCCAGCTGTAGAAACTATAGAAATGGAAAGTTGTCCTTAATCATTTTTCCTGTAAGAGGAAAATACAGAAGTACACTCTTCTTGCTACTTTCTACTTGCTAATAACAGTTCTTGTTGTTAATTCTGTTTGAACAAATCTTTCTTTATAGCTCGTCTTCACAAGATTAGTGTAAAATTGATTGCTTTCTGGTATTTGCTAGTTTTTATTCTGGAAATAATTGTTTGAGCCAGAGATTATCAACTTTCCTGACAGAAGCAAGGGGAGAAGAGGGCTGTTAAGTCCCCCTTAAATTTTTAATGTTAAACTGTTGTAACTTCATGTACTAAATACATGCTTCTGATAAGAAGATCTTGCACAGTTTGGGTTATATTACATCTTAAATTACTGTAGGTTCACTGACTTCTGGAATTAACTTCCATTTCTTCTGTACTGTAAACTTTAGGCTCGTGCTGTTCTGGAGAGGGAATTTAATAACCTTCTTGTTATGGGCACTGACAGAAGACTTGATGAAGTAAGTTATTCAAGCTGTTGACTCATTTTATAGTCACGGGAACGTTACCGGAACTCCTAGTGAAAGAATTTAGTTTGACATTCTTTAAATTATTAGTGGCAGAAACTTTAACTTGAAAATCTTTGCCTTTGAGAGTTCCTGAATATGGCAGAATCTCTGTATTTACTTAGGTAAGATAATTTTGAATATGGCCATATGAGATGCTCTGAAAGTTTGTTTCTGTAGCTTGCATGCTTAATGTCCAGTAATAGCGCATTTGTCAGAATCTTAATTTTTCTGTCTGAAATATGAGGAAAATCTAGTGACCAGAGTTGCAGATAAGCAATATATAGCATAGAAAGGTACTGTATAGCACATTTCAAACCCTTGTCCTAACAAGCAGTATTTCAAATAATTTTGTGTATTTCAAGAAAGCTGTTCCCAATTTATTCATAATGTAGTTTTAATACAAAAATAAAATCTCTATTCTAATAAAGCACATTCTTCAAAGCTACTGCAAGAAAGAAGTTCTTAAGGAAAACTGTGAGCATTGCTGCTTAGTGTTCTGAATTTTATTTAAAGCTACCATTACAATATAGCTTCTTTTTACTGAAAAGAAATAGAAGTAACATTTGCAGTTATCAGAAAAATGCAGATAAAAAGTATGCAGGAATTGTTATATGAAGAATTAAAAATGAAAAATCATAGGAAAAAGGTGCATTAAGCACGTTTAGTTATCAGTTCAGCTGGCACAAGTCATTTGGGAAGATATGGATTCAGACGTGATACTTGCTGTGGTCAGTTTTCTAGAGATGGTAATGTGCTATGAAGAGGAGGACCTTCTAGAGCAGCAAGCTGGTTGAAGAGGTGCTCACACAGATAAATGCGGTGCTAGGGCTATGGGAAAACGTGTTGCCAAATTACTGAATATGTTAAGTGTTTTTATGAAAATGCGTAGGAGAAATCATCCTCCTAAATCCTTCCAGTTGTTGTTGAGCAATGTTTTCTGAATGCTCTTAAGAGAAATATGTTGTTCAGTGGTTTTGCTCTGCAAGATGTTTTTGGAAGTAGGGCTGAAACCGTTCTATTTAGTAAGTGCAGTGCGGTATTTCTAAAGCGGAATATTACTTTAAAGATGCAAATGTATTATCGAGATAAAACCTACCTGAGTAATTACAAGCTATTTTCCAAAGTGTTTAAATGAAACAGTACATAGCAATAAAGTATTTCTTTTTTTACTTTTTTCTCACCATTTCCTGTGATTTGTACTGTGAGAGAACACTGTTTCATCATTCCTGTAACACAGAATTTAAGATTAAAAATGATTGTTCAAAGTAAGCCTCCATATGTTAGTGCTCCCAAAGCACCTTTTATGATTTACTTCATTCCTCATGTCACCTAAGAATAAACAAGTGATACAACACTTAACAAATTACTGCAAATCAAGTACAAATGTATACTGATTTCAGTCAAAGTAGGTATCGTGATACTTACCGAGCACATGGATTTCCATAGTTACTGAGCAGAAGAGCCTCCATCGTAGCCAATGAGCAGACTATCGGAAACTGTTGCAGCTGAGCTGTTGTGAAAATCAAGTCTTACAGTGTTATATTTGGTTAAGATTCTCAGTAATCCTTTTAATGTCAGTAATAAACCTATGTTTTGGAATTGCTAATAATGTTTATCAATATAACAGGATGATGATAAGAGCTTTAGGCGAGCGCCTTCATGGAGAAAGAAGTTTAGACCAAAGGACATAAGAGGTTTAGCTGCTGGATCAGCAGAGACTCTCCCTGCAAATTTCAGAGTTACAACCTCAATGTCTTCACCTTCTATGCAGCCAAAGAAGATGCAGATTGATGGTATTGCTTTTGTATTATTTTAAGCATGATGCACTTTTTTGCTTGAGATTACAAGGGAATTAAGTTCCAATTACCTTTTTCGCTGCATAAAAGCATCTGCCTTGTGCATGGTTGTGTATATAACACTGTTTAACCACAGGGTGGTTGAATTTCAGGAAGCTGTACTAGGTACAGAGGCTTTTTACTTCATTCAAATAACAAAAAGTATTATACATAGAAATAAACTTATGTTAAAGCAGGTAAATAAAGTAACATTTCAGTACAAGTCTTTTAGTAACGTTTTTAATCTTAAAAACAGACATGCATGAGACATGCACTTCTCATTAGTAGTAATTAGACGAATGCAAGTCCCACTTCTAAAATGCAATAAAATCAATTCGAGAAATGATTTGAATAAACTTCCTCAGATAACTTTGAGATTATTAATAAAGAGGTGCATTTTTTCCAGTGGTCCCTCAGTTATTGAGCTCATTTGAATTCATTATTTCATTCACTGCTGCATACTTGGAATGATCTGTGTGTATATGTCCCTATACATACGTGCACTTATATATTAAAATGCTTGAAAGTGAAAGCTGACCACCTGTTACATGAAGTATCTTGTCTATTGAAAAATAGCCTTTTTGGCAGTATAAGAATAAACCTTTATTTTAATTTGATTTACAAAACACAAGTAAAAATAAATGGAAGATGCATTTGATTGGAATAGGATGAAAACTTCAGTATAATCTGCATCAGAGTTGGCTCAAGTTTTGAGAAGAAAGTATATTTGAGTAAAACTTGGAGACCTTTGACTTGATCTTATTGTCTCAGATGCTAGTGAGTTGCTATATACCTTGTATACTTTCACTAGCATAAAATATCTTTTCCAGTATTCTTCGTGTGATGAATTACAGAGATTAAAAAAGTAGTCTTTACGTAAAGTGCTTTCTTTTAACTATGATAATTGTCAAAAGAGGAAAATGACATAAAATGGGAAGATATTTATTTATAGAAATTATCTTTGCCATTCACAGTGTGCTAGTTGGCCTGTATATTTTTAGGCATCTTTCTGTTAGCTAATGCAACTGGAATTAGTATATGTATAAACTGTACAATAAATCGTGCTTTCCTAACTTATAACCTTATAGAGTCGACTGAATACAATAGCTATAATCACATTGCTGTGGTGATGTTTTTTGAAAACTAACATGCATGCTGTGTTCTGCATGTCTTCCCATGCTTCTTGAAATAGGCAGTGTATCAGGAACACAAAGATTGGATTCTGCTACAGTAAGGACATACTCCTGTTAAAGCCTTCTCCTGGTGAGTAAAGTTGATAGGTATAATAGTAAAGCAGCTACTTATGAAATAAAACTTGGAAGTGTTTTAATACAATGAATAAAAACCCTTATAAAAACCCTTTCGAGTTTGCAGGCTAGATTATGTTCAAAATCCAGAGCTTATTTCCTATGACAAAGTCTACCAGCATTTAAATACTTAGTTTTGCAAATATCTTTTTTTTTTGTTATGAAAAAACGAAAATCTTTTTTTTGGCATGAAAAAGGGCAGTACTAAATAGCCATACAGAAATTGTTGAAATCAACAGTTGGAACTGAAGAGCTAGCGAAAAGGGGAGGAAGGAAGGGAATTAAATTACAAATATGGAGGAGAGAAGATAACCTGGTGCATGGCATTGCAGTTCAGAATATTGATTTTTTTCAGAAGTATATTGTAGTAGGATAACTTCACCCAAGGAAAGAATCTATTTTTCAGTTGTTAAGGGTAATCGCATAGTTTTCCAGTTCTTGGATACTTCATACGACTGTGATTGCTTAGGCTGTCTGGTTGGATTTAGCTACCAGCAGTCTAAATTTGGGTAGCTGTGAGTGGTGCTGAGAGTAAAAGGCAGCTTGATTAAAATAGGCGTGTTTAGCTGGAATACATGCATTTTGTGTTAAAGATACGTATAGCCTTATCTTACTCCAGGACTTGGACTGATTTTTCCTTAGTGGTCTTTGCTGTGTTTTCTCATGGAGCAGTCTTTCTCTCTTAATTTGCAAACACAAGCCTGGAAACTAAAATTTTTGACTGGATACAAAAAGTCCAGTGAAAATAACTGGTTTCATGGTAAGCACACAGTCTCTTCCTCCTAATAATAATAGATTCTTCCATGGGCTGTAAATTGCCCATCTCTTCTGCTTACAGTGGTTTTTTTTTTTTTTCTTTTCACCGGTAGCTTCCCACAGCTATCACCTGCTTTTTCGTCAGATTCTGAATGTTTTTTTAAAGAGTTCTCATGTATAGAAAGCTGAGAAGGGAAATTCCTGCTTAGGGTGACTCAGATTATGTGGATCAATCACTTTATAAACTCAGAGGCTATTTACAAAAAAAAAAAAAAAATTTTAGTCTTAAGACAGTGAAGTTTTAAATTGTCTTTTTTCCCCTGTGAATCCTTTCCGTTGTTTCAGGTTTTTTTTTTTTTTTATAGTCAGATCACCTAGGATAAAAGTCAGGCTCTAGGAAGTGGGAAATGTTTGACTTTGCATTGCAACAGAAAATTCTAGAAGGCAGTAAAATTGCATACATCAGGCATGGCAATAATTTGATGCATGACTGCTACAATACTGAGCTGTTTGTGAGAAACTTATTAGGAAGTGCTTTTAAAAAAACTGGTAATAGATGTTTTTGTTTGTTTGTTTTTTCTGCAGTTTACCCACACTATTTCTACCGGTGATATGCAGCATTTTGAACATTTGGAACCTTTAATCTGTTAATACTTGTTAAATGGACACTTTGAGATATTTTATTACAGAGTTTTTAATTAGCAAATAAATTCATGAGTACTATAGAGAAAATATTTTAGAATCTAAATGTTTCTTATATTTATGTGACTTCTCATTTATATAGCTACTTACTTTTTCTGTTTGTATTCAGTCTACAAATCAAATCATTGCTGATTTTTATTCTAATTTTAGTCTTTCCAACTGAATGTACTGTAATGCTTGTATGTATATGTCCCTATAAGTAATATAGGGTTTTTGTAAATTATGCAGTTACTGTAATTATCATTGTTTTTTAATAATGAAATGGAAGGTGAAAAGGATTTTCATACCTTTGTAAAAGTATCATGACACCAAGCAGTATATATTTTGTCTTTTGGAAATGTTAGCTAGATCTAAAAATAAGTCCAGCTTTTTTCAGGTAAGCATATGTGGTTGTAGAAGGTATGGTACATGGTTGTTCTGCTTTTCAGAACTGTACCTTTCCACAAAGAGGATTTGTCAAGTAGTGGGGATTGTCTTTATTTAAAATAAAACTTGCTTTAAAAGCTGGGAAAAATTAGAACACTATGGAACACATTTTAGAAATGACTGACTCGGTCATAACTCGGTCTTTGCTGTATTTGTATAGCATAGCTTCACAGTGACTGAAAACAAGCCATAAACTAAGAAATGTTTTTCCTTAATTGAGGAAGACAGACTTCATAATAATTCCTGATAGTAGTCCACAGGCCACAGAGAGAGTTTTTGTCCTAGATCTTTTTGATTGAAAACCCTTGTGGAAAGGGTAAAACTAGTTTTAATGGACCAATCACGAAGCACTGCAGTATCATGTCAAATGTATAGTGAAAGATGAAGGTACAATATGCTGAAAACAAAAGCAGTGCAACCTCTAATAAAGGCCTTACTTTTCTTATGTAAGTCATCTTTTTGTGTTTTGTAAGCTTGTTCTAAAGAGTTGTCTGGACTTCAGTTTTGGTGGTTGTAGCCATTTTGGACTGTATGAGTAGCAAAATGTAGTCAACACTTGTAAATGGCATATTAGAAAGCCAGCAAGAAATCTGTTCCGATCATGGTGCATTATTTATTATGCAACAATATATATAGCATGTCTTTTCTTATTGTTTTCCACTTTTAACTTGCTTGTAAAACTGAAATTCATTGTTACTGTTCTGTTTTTCTATTAATCTTTTGTGTATTTTCAAATTATGTAACAATATGTACAGTCTAAGTACTTTTGAACTATTTTTATCACAGTATTATTTATTGCTTTCTTTCAATAAAGTACTGAGGCATTTTCCACTGCCAATAAAACACTATTGAAAAGCTAAGATCTAATTGTACACAGGCAGGTATTTTTGCGGTGAGTGGAGACTGTCAATAAAGCATCTTAATGATTGATTGCTGCCCTGTAGATCTTGTTTCAAATGATGGTTTTTCTCTTCAGTAGAAAAATGTTACCTTAGATATGACAACTTGTTGAGAATTGTTTGAATTCACATGTTGTATCATCAGTTCTGGAAAAATTTTTCATAAAATAACTGCTGCATTGCCTACTTCTGCTGGTAGCGACAGCTGTGATTTACATCTTTTAACACAACTGCAGTGTTTTCTGACCCACACGCGACGAAGATTGAAGTGCTGTTCTCTGTAGCAGCAACAGTTGCTTTGTTAATGAGATGAGACTATGACAATAGTGATGTTTGTGGGGAGAAACATTGGGAGTCTAGGGAACAAATACAAAGTTGGGTCACAGGAGGGCTGTTTGTTTCAGTTTAAATACAATTTAAACCATTTCTCGTGGAGAAGAGAAGACTGAAGCAAAAACTTGCAGAATAGAAGCAGTAGTGAAGCGTATTTCATCACGTCCTCTAGAGGAACAGCAGGATGTGGAATGTACGGAATGGAGAACTGTTGCGACTGATGCTTTAAACACTGTTCTATAATATATCTCTATTTGTTTCTGTCTAGCTTGTCTATATGAACTGCTATCTAATAATTTGTGGTTTCTTTTATAATTTCGGAGGATCTTTCTAGAAAAAATAAAATGAAAGTGCAGAAGGAAACTGACTCACTGTTCAGTTGAACTTTACTGTTTAAAAGAGATTTCATATACTTTCTCTGCTTACTGATGTGATAGATGTTCAAAGTTGTGTATTGTTGCGTCTCAGAAGTAAAAACAATGCTTGTGAAAAGAAAAATACGGTGGTTATTTTAAGGCTGTAAAACCCTAACTGTTACAGAACAATGGAATCAACAAGAGAGCTGGAATAAATGAGTGAAATAGAAAAAGCTAACGAAAACTGGCAAAACTGTGTGTTGATATCCCCCTGAATTATACAGCATAGCTATCCCAGAGAAATTGAGGAAAACATTTTAGTTGGTTTTAATGAAAAAACCCCCCCGGAAACAAAAACATGTAAGTGCATGCACAAAAGACACATGGGCATGTTGCAGTACTTTTTTTTTTTTTTTTAAATAAAACTTGGTTATATGTACTCAAGATTGTCCTATAGAGTCTGAAATACCTCAGGAAATGCAGACTCGTACAGTCTAAGGATCAAAGCTGAATTATCTAAAGGGAAATGATTCAGTGTTCTTCAGATGATGGATTACATGTAGCTGTTTATGAATTTTTTTCTAATTATGAAACTTATTTTTCACTTTAAAATGCTCGTACTTCATTAATAGGAGTAAGATACAGATTTTTTTCAGGGGTATCTCTCACTGTTTTATAACTGAACGTTCTGTGAGATTTTGTAGTATCAGAAAATAGGACACTTGCAAAGGAAGCCCGGTGCTTTCAAATGCTTATGGCGAACAGTGCAATTTCAGCATTGCAGTTTTCATAGTGTTTAAACAGTGTTGTACTGCAGTGGTAATTAAAATACATCGGGCCAGATCCTGCTGTCTTTGCCAACAGCGTAACTCCAACACATGTTCAGTTTCTGTAAAATGCCAAAAGTCCTTTAGATGGAACTTTAGTTGGAAAAATTGCTATAAAAATTATTTCTTTAAAAAGTGAGAACCCTTTGTAACTGCCATAAGGAGATGGCAGAATTATCAGAGAGAACTTTACTCTGGCTTCTACACATAAACAAACTGGAAGTTTAATCTCAGTGCTTTTTTAACTTATTTTATAATTCAATTTTCTGGATGATTTTGATAAAATATTAGTTTAAGCAATGCACTAAAACTTAAATTACAATGTTCTAAATTGTATTCAAATCATGTGTTGCTAATGCTCGAAGTCGTTTTGGTAAAAATACGGCAATTGCAATGCAGGAATGAACAGATGAAAAGTGGGTTGTAAGTGTGGTTGGCGTTCCTGCCGGTAACCAGGAGGACAGATGAATTATCTCCCGAACCGCACAGCAACAGTGCCAGAGACGATCCCCAGAGGATCCAGGTTCTCGGAGCACGTCTCCTCTCCAGGAGACGGGTTTCCAGGAGAAAGTTCTACTTAGATGGCTTTAATATTAGAGTATACTTCCAAAATTCTAACTTCTTCTGTGCTAAATATAGAAAAGTTTTAGCCTGTTTACACTGACTCCACTGTACTTTATTTCTGTTGGCTGGGAGTAGCTATCCCACTGCCACTGGGCACTGGTAAGTCATGTTTTTGCTTCTAAAACTCATGAAGGCATGTTCATCTGGAACTTTTTATTATTAGAGTTGGAGATATTTCTAGTGGGGGGAAAAATGTATATCTGCTTATTTCCCTTCCCCAAAGAGTATAAGCACTGGACAAATAATTGAGAAATGATGTCACCAAGTCGAGACATGCGACTGCTGGTTTTGGAGCTTTCAACGCTAGTGTATTTGCTAGTGTATTTGTATCTCCTTTGCTCGGGTACTCGGAGGCGGTTAAAGGCGAAGCACAGGCCGGGTCCTGGACACCCCCC